GGGCGGGGTTTTAGGGTCATGTGACCGCCATGATTCGCTGTCACGGCGGGAGTGGTCCCGATCGAAAGAGGAGATCGGGACCTTTCCGTGAGTACCGAAAGTGTGTGCTGGGAGCGTACTCTCAGCCCATGTGTTTTTTAATAAAACGCAAATGTGCGGGCGCTCGGTGTCTAGGCCCAGACGCACATTTGCGCCAAGAGGTTAAATCACACCAGATATAATATGCATATAAAAACAACGTAGTACCATCAGGTATAGGTAAAAACTCTTCCACTCATCTGCTGTGATAGTAAATCGGTGTGTGTTGCAAGCGTCATGACGTCACCTAGCCCCTCCCCTACACGTTGCGCCACAGGGTCACGTGGCCTCCTCAGGGGGGATACGATTGGACGCCACAACGCTATGCTGGTCTTTGTGTTTATTATATATTTTGTTTTTTGAGTTGGTTCATTTGCTTAGGGAAGTGCCGCACTATACATTTCTATGCTATTATTATTATTATTATTCAGGATTTTATATATTATTATTATACAGGATTTATGGCGCCAACAGTTTGCTCAGCACTTTACAATATATAACGGGAGACAATACAGCAACAATACAGTTCAATACAAAAGGGATAGAAGGGCCTTGATCCTTGGAGCTTACAATCTAGGAGGGAGGGGTTAGTGGTACAGAAGGTAATAATTGTGGGGGATGGACTGGTTGGAAGAGTAGAAGATTCCATTATTAGCTGAGGACAGGATAGGCTTCCCTGAAAAGATACGTTTTCAGAGATCGCCTAAAAGTGAGCAGAGTAGGCGATAGTCTCATAAATTGGGGTAGAGAGTTCCAGAGGATGGGGGAAGCTCTGGAGAAGTCCTGGAGACGAGCATGGGAGGAAGAGACAAGGGAGCTAGAGAGTAGGAGGTACGGTTTGGGTGGTATTTGGAGACAAGATTGGTGATGTAATTTGGGGCAGTGTTATAAATGGCTTTATACGTTATTGTTAATGTTTTGAATTTTATCCGTTGGGCAATGGGAAGCCAGTGGAGGGATTGGCAGAGATGGGTGGAGGACACTGAGTGGAGGCCAGTGGAGGGATTGGCAGAGACGGGTGGAGGACACTGAGTGGAGGCCAGTGGAGGGATTGGCAGAGAGGGATGGAGGACACTGAGTGGAGGTCAGTGGAGGGATTGGCAGAGAGGGGTGGCAGATACAGAACGGTTAGTAAGGTGGATGAGTCTGGCAGCAGCATTCACAATAGACTGAAGAGGGGATAACCTGCAATGAGGTCGGCCAATGAGGAGGGAGTTACAATAGTCAAGACGAGAGATAACCAGGGAGGGAATAAGTTGCTTAGTGGTTTCCGAGGTTAGGAACGGGCGTATCTTGGTGATGTTGTGGAGGTTGGAGATGTTGGAGGTTGGAGATGTTGCGGAGGTGAAGTCTACAAGATTTGGTCAGTGATTGGATTTGGGGGTGAAAGGACAAATGGGAGTCTAGGAGTACACCTAGTACCCTGGCATGAGGGGAGGGACTGATGGTGGTGTTATTGATCTTGATGGAGAAGTCGGGGGGGGGGCACGGGCTGGGGGGAATACTAAGAGCTCAGTTTTGGACAGGTTGAGTTTGAAGAAGTGGGAGTGACATCCAATCCGATATGACGCTTAGTAGATTAGTAATGCGAGAGGAGACTGAAGGGGTGAGGTGAGGAGTAGAAAGATAGATTTGTGTGTCATCAGCATAGAGATGGTACTTAAAGCCGTGGGAGTTTATCAAGTGACCAAGGGAGGAGGTGTAGATGGAGCAGAGTAGGGGTCCAAGGACAGAACCTTGAGGGACCCCTACAGAAAGAGGGAGTGAAGAGGAGGAGCCAGAGTTATAAGTAACGCTGCAGGAGTGCTGCGATAGGTAGGAGGAGAACCAGGAGAGAGCAGAGTCTCTGAGGCCAAGAGTGGAGTTTTTTGAGGAGGGGATGGTCAACCGTATCAAAAGCCACAGAGAGATCAAGTAGTAAGAGTACGGAGTAGTGGCCATTGGTTGGGATGAGTACGGAGTAGTGGTCATTGGTTGGGATGAGTACGAAGTAATGGCCATTGGTTGGGATGAGTACAGAGTAGTGGCCATTGGTTGGGATGAGTACGGAGTAGTGGCCATTGGTTGGGATGAGTACGGAGTAGTGGCCATTGGTTGAGAAGAGTATGGAGTAGTGGCCATTGGTTGAGAGGAATACGGAGTAGTGGCCATTGGTTGGGAGGAGTACGGAGTAGTGGCCATTGGTTGGGATGAGGACGGAGTAGTGGCCATTGGTTTAGCTGTTAGTAGGTCATTAGTGAGTTTTAGTAGAGCAGTTTCAGTGGAGTGTAGAGAGCGAAAGCCAGAGTGTAAAGGGTCTGGAAGGTTGTTGTCGGTGAGGTGGGAGCTCAGACGATTGTAGACTAAGCGTTCTAGGAGTTTAGAGGTAGATGGCAGCAGGGAGATGGGTCTTAAGTTGTCCAGGTTGGTGGGGTCCAGGGAGGGCTTTTTAAGTATGGGAGTGATGTGCGCATGCTTTAGAGTGGAGGGGAAGGCACCAGTAGAGAGGGAGAGATTGAAGATGTGAGTGAGGGAGCATAGGATGGAAGTAGAGGGTGACCGTAGTAGTTGTGAGGGGACAGGATCCAGGGGGCAGGTGGTGAGATGGGCTTCTGAGAAAACCTTAATGACCTCTTCGGTGGTAGGGAGGTCAAAAGAGGAAAGTGTTGAGGGAGGTGTAGTATAAGGTATGCTAAGTGGGTTGGATGTCTGTGCAGTGGCGATGCCCCTACGAATTGCATCAATCTTGCTTTTGAAATGATTTGCAATCTCGTGAGCCGTGCGTGAGGTACTGGGTGGAGATGGAGGTGGAGAAAGTAGAGAAGAGACAACGAGGACTGGATGATAAGATATTAATAGGAGTGACAAAGTAGGCTTGTTTGGCAGCATGGAGGGAGGAATTGTATGTTAAGAAAGCAGATTTATATCGGGTGAATGCTTGGTGAGATTTGGTTTTACGCCACAACCACTCCAGCGCACGACTATGTCGTTTAAGATCTCTGGTGTGGTCAGTCTGCCGAGGTTGTAATGGTCGGGGCCGGATGCTTTGTGTTGTTAGAGGAGCAAGCGAGTCTAATGCCAATAAAAGCGAACTGTTGTAGACAGCAGTGGCCAGGTCAGGGCAGGACAGGGGAGAGATTCTGTCATAGAGTTGGTCAGTTGCAGAGTGGAAAGGAGCCGGGTTCAAGTTGTGAAGGTTTCTGCGGGTAATTGTTTGCTGCTTGGAGGGATAGGTGTTTGAAGATGAGGAGACTGTGAAGGTGATGAGATTGTGATCAGAGAGAGGAAAGGGGGTGTTTGTGAGGTTGTAGGGAGTGCAAAGATGGGAGAAAACAAAGTCTAATGTATTCCCATCTGAGTGAGTGGAGGACCATGGAGGACTGTGTCCATCAGAGTGAGTGGAGGACCATGGAGGACTGTGTCCATCAGAGTGAGTGGAGGACCATGGAGGACTGTGTCCATCAGAGTGAGTGGAGGACTGTGTCCATCAGAGTGAGTGGAGGACCATGGAGGACTGTGTCCATCAGAGTGAGTGGAGGACTGCATACATTGTGCTAATGCAAAAGATGAGGTTATGTTGAAGAGTTGGGATGTAGCCGGGTTGTCCACATTAATGGGGATGTTAAAATCTCTGAGAATGATAGCGGGTAGTTCAGAGGAGAGAAAGTAGGGTAGCCAGGCGGAGAAATCATCACGAAAGCGGGACACGGGTCCAGGAGGCCGATAGATCACTGCAATCCGCAGAAAGATCGGAGAGAATAGCCGGATGCAGTGAGTCTGGAAAAGGGGCGGACTGACCATTGGGAATTCGGGCAGTGCCCAAGGGCCCGGGGTCAGAAGGGGGCCCCATGAGATGCCCCTGGTACCTTTTTCATAGGCTTTTTGGGTGTGGTTTGAGTGTGAGCAAGGACACAGGGGCCCCATGGTCCCCTATTGCCCGGGGGCCCCATGAATTGTCAGTCCGTCCCTGGTCTGGAAAGAAGAGAAGGATAGAGAAGGAGGGTTAGGGAGGACTTGAAAGGTGCTCAGTGGGGATAGAAGCAAACCAACCCCACCACCTCTCCGACCACTCATTTATCACGCACATGCTATGAGTATGCGGCTGGTGTGAGTTGCTTTCATTAGTTGTAGGTAACTGAGGTGACGCGTTTGTTGCTCCGAGAGAAACATTTACATTTTTAGATGTATTGTGTTTTTGCTGAGTTTTGTGTTTTGCATTTTAAATACGCCTAGCAACAAGAAAATGAAATGAAAAAAAAAAACGCAAAACACTTCAAAAACGGAAGTGCAAAACACAATGCAGAAACGGCTCAAATGCAACCTGCATAGGTGTGAACCTAGACTTAGTGCTGTATATCGCATGTGATTTGTGTGTGGTGCGATGGGAGACGTACATTTTGAATGGCTCTAATCGCACCAGAAACGCGCAGGACCCTTTTTTGGGTCCGCACTAGAATCGGATCGCACGGGTATTCACACCTATGTGATCCGATTCTGCACATCGCACCGCGTTTTGTGGACTGCTTTTGGGGTGTTGCTAACTTAACATACACACCTGCAGCGGTTCGCATGAACGGGGTGCGATTCTGATGCGGTGAGGAATTCACACTGAAAACGCCAGATCGGGCTTAGAGCAGGGGTGTCAAACTGGCGGTCCTTCAGTTGTTGCAAAACTACAAGTCCCATCATGCCTCTGCCTATGGGAGTCATGCTTGTAACTGTCAATCTTGCAATGCTTCATGGGACTTGTAGTTTGGCAACAGCTGGAGGGCCACCAGTTTGACACCCATGGCTTAGAGTATCTCATGCAATGATTGCGTTGTGTATGGCTCCCCCCGGGGGTGATATTGAGTACTGCAGTCTTGATTGTCAGCGATCTGCTAAATGCAACCATCTTTTGAGTCAGTGCTGCATGTTAACCGTTTTCTATCCTTTCCTGATAGCTGAGGAAACCCGTTATTGAGAAGATGAGGAGAGATCGCATTAACAGCAGCATTGAGCAGCTGCGGCTTTTACTACTGGAGAAAGAGTTCCAGAAACATCAACTGCCCTCCAAACCAGAGAAGGCCGACATACTGGAGATGACCGTCAGCTTACTTAGAGAGCAGCTCCACAGAGCAACCAAAGGTAAGTTATCAATATTATAGGGCCCTCTGAACCCTCCTGTATTCATTTGTATTGTGAGTGTACTGTCTGCCCTCATGTTGTAAGTATGCTGTATACCCAAATTTTGAGTGTATTCACAATGTCCACATTTTGATGTCATAAAACGGCCATTTTGTCTGCAGTTGACCTCACCAGATTCTATTAAAGCGACAGAACTACCTGAAAATAATTTTCTGGCCTCCATTGTGTGCAGGACATGGGTCTTCCTTGGGTGTCATCAATGTATCTAATTATTTTCTGGTGCCATGACTAAATATTTGGTGGCCAAGTATGGTTTAGTTCTTTAATTCCATCGATCAATTCAATGCCCCACTTTATCAAGGAGTTTTATTTTTAAAAAGGGTAAATACGAAGGTTCTTCAAAAAGTTTCCACCTTTTCTTTTAAATATATATATATGTACGAAAACTTTTTGAAGGCCCCTCGTAAATATCTTTGTGAAAATATCATCAAATTGAAAAACCATGTGCAAATCCAAATCAAGGAGTTTTATTTAAAAAAAAGGGTAAATATGAAGGTTCTTCAAAAGTTGGGTTGCTCTTTACGAGCACCAAATTTTTCTTCAATTAAAAATTTTACCTACTTCCCCATCGACATCCCCCATGTTTAGAAATGATATAATAAAGAAACTTTTTGAAGACCCCTCGTAAATATCTTTGTGAAAATACTGGCAAATTGAAAAACCATGTGCAAATCCAAATCAGGGATTTGGGTTGGGCTGGGTGGATTGGGTTGGGTTGCTTTGTGGAACACAAATTTTTTCTTCAGTTAAAAATTTGACCTACTTGCCCACCTACCTCTGCCATATTTAGAAAAGATATAGTATGAAAATTTTTAAAGACCCCTCGTAAATCTTTGTGAAAATTGAAAAACCATGTGCAAATCCAAATCAAGAGGTTGGGTTGCTTTGTGGAACACCAATTTTTTCTTCAGTTAAAATGTTGACCTATTTCCCCATCTAGCTCCGCCATATTTAGAAATGATATAGTATGAAAACTTTTTGAAGACCCCTCGTAAATATCTTTGTGAAAATACTGGCAAAATTGAAAAACAATGTGCAAATCCAAATCAACGAGTTGGGTTGGGTTGGATTGGGTTGCTTTAGAAACACCAAATTTTTCTTCAGTTAAAAATTTTACCTACTTCTTGATCTACCTCCGCCATGTTTTGGAATGATATAGTATGGAAACTTTTTGAAGACCCCTCGTAAATATCTTTGTGAAAATACTGGCAAACTGAAAAACCATGTGCAAATTCAAATCAAGGATTTGGGTTGGGTTGCTTTAGGAACACCAAATTTTTCTTCAATTAAAAATTTTACCTACTTCCCCAGCTACCTCCGCCATGTTTGGAATTATATAGTATGGAAACTTTTTGAAGACTCCTTGTAAATATCTGTGAAAAAAACGGCAAATTGAATGTGCAAATCCAAATCAAGGATTTGGGTTTGGTGGATTGGGTTGGGTTGCTTTGTGAAACACTAATATTTTCTTCAGTTAAAAATTTGACCTACTTCCCCATCTACCTCTGCCATGTTTACAAATTATATAGTATGGAAACATTTTGAAGACCCCTCGTAAATATCTTTGTGAAAATACTGGCAAATTGAAAAACAATGTGCAAATTCAAATCAAGGAGTTGGGTTGGGTTGGATTGGGTTGCTTTAGAAACACCAAAGTTTTCTTCAGTTAAAAATGCGACCTATTTCCCCATCTACCTCCACCATGTTTAGAAATGATATAGTATGGAAACTTTTTGAAGACGCCTTGTAAATATCTTTGTGAAAATACTGGCAAATTGAAAAACCATGTGAAAATTCAAATCAAAGATTTGGGTTGGATTTGGGTTGGGTGGATTTGATTGGGTGGATTAGGTTGGGTGGATTAGGTTGGGTGGATTGGGTTGGGTGGATTGGGCTGGGTGGATTGGGCTGGGTGGATTAGGTTGGGTGGATTAGGTTGGGTGGATTGGGTTGGGTGGATTGGGTTGGGTGGATTGGGTTGGGTTGGATGGATTGGGTTGGGTTGCTTTGTGGAACACCAAATTTTTCTTCATTTAAATATTTGACCTACTTCCCCATCTACCTCCGCCATTTTTAAGAATGATATAACATTTTCTATAACGTTCTTATTTCAGTGATATTAATGACCCCTCTGTCTCTTCTATCACAGCCGTGGCTCCCTGCAAACCAGCTTTCCCACCATCGATGAAGGAAGCAAGCTTTCTTCCAAACAACAAATACTCAGCTACACCAATGAGTTTCTGGAGTGACCCCAACAAGTTGAGTTCCACAAAGGAGAACGTCTGCCATCCCCTCGCCACCTTTAACCAAGGGGTCAAACAGGCAGGACAGCCTTTCAGTTCAGCAGATTTGTGGCGGCCATGGTGAACAAAATGGTTGCCCTTTGTTGAGGACTCACAAAAAAAAAAACCATAAGAACTTACAACAAAAAAAATATCTAAAGACTACAAAAGAGAGAGAATCTTCTTAAAGTCTTCCAAGAGAGGAAATTATTTTTTTATTAGAAATTTAATATATTTATATATTGTTGGGTCTTATTTCTCACAAGGACATCATTGTGTGTTATACACACACTAATTTTTTTCGTACATTGCGACCAAGAATTGGAGCATTCCGAGAAACATGGCTGGGCGCCTAAAGGAATCGTCGGCAAGCGCCTTTATAATTCAGAAAATTGAGCGCCGCGGCTTACCAGACAATTGCACCTATTGTATCGCCTTCACCATCAAGCCTCCTGGTCCAATGTAGAGATCATTCCTTCTAACCTTTGACCTGAAGTGTACATCGAATGTTGATTGGGTCAAACAGGAGGACTCTTCCTAGCTCCTGCTTTCATTTGGGAACATGCTTTGTTAATGAAGGGTACATCAATTTGTCTGTTTTCGGTAAACAAGGAATTTGATGCTTTTTGACATGCAGATGGAGCCATTTCCCTTCAAGGAAGGACAGCACGCTCCTCTCATGCCTCATCTGCTTAATATGTTTTGGGAAGTTTTGGCAAAAGTGCTGAAATTGAAAGTTCTTTTCTGTGAAAAGTGTTTTTTTTTTTTTTTTACTGAAAATGTGTTTTATTTGATGTTTTTGTTTTGCTTTTTTGCACCTTTTTTGGATGGTAAATATATACAAAAAATCTATCGAATACGTTTTGTAAAAAATAATTTGGGTGAGATGGTTGTCGTTCTTTAAAGATACTTTTTTTTTTTTTTTTGCAGGCATGTGAGATTGTTTAGTAGCACAAAGCAAAATGCCGAGTGCAAGAACCCAATCAGAATTAATCTTTCATTTGTCTTCAGTAACTTGCAATACAATTGGCTGATAATGTGCTTTAGGACCGCCCTGTAGCAGATATACTGCTACAGAGGATACAAATGGAGAAACAGAAAAAGGGCGCACCGACCTAGTGCATTATCGTTTCAAATAATTTATTAAAGAAACAGAAATAGGTATCATACTCACAACGGACATAATAACACAGGCATGTCAAACTGAACAAGATGTATGATCCAAACAACATCTGAGTCCATACCATGGAACCCTAGATGACCAACTTGCTAACGCGTTTCGAGGACACAACCTCTTCCTCAGAGCCAACGAGGGTGGCACCTGTGTGCAGGGTTCTGCATTTATGGGTAGGGGGCGCGCTCTAGTCGTGTGCACACCCTACCCGCACCGCCATTTGCGGCCACGGATGTCTAGCACTGGGTCCCAGCCGGTAATTACCTGCCGGCGCCCGGTGATTACCACACATCTCCGATGGGGAGAAGATTGTTTACAAACAATCTTCCTCCCTGTCAGCTCGAGCACACTGCTTGGAATGGCTGTGCACAGTACAGTCATCCTGATCAGTGTGCTTACAGTGAAGAAACACACCCCCCAGGGGCGGACTGACAACTCATGGGGCCCCCGGGCAATAGGGGATCATGGGCCCCGGTGTCCTTGCCCAAACTGAAAAAAGCCTATGAAAAAGGTACCAGGGGCATCTCATGGGGCCCCCTACTGACCTCGGGCCCTCGGGCAGTTTTCAAATAGTCAGTCAGCCCCTTAGTAAAACACACTCAGCACACAGTTAACCCTTTGATCGCCCCTCACATTAACCCCTTCCTGCCCAGTGCCATTAGTACAGTGTCAGTGCTTTTTTTTTTTTTTTTACCACTGATCACTGTATTGGTGTCACTGGGGTGTCAGTGACACCAAGTTAGTTCCCTCCCAGTGTCAGAATGCCTGCCGCAGTCCCACAAAGTCGCTGATCACCACCGTTGCTAGTAGAAAAAGAAAATCCCAGTATCTATACCGCCATTTGTAAACACTTTCATATAGATCAATTCATTTACATGTATTGGGATTTCTTTTAGCAGAATACATTTTGGCCGAAATTTATGACGAAATGCGTTTTTTTTTTTTTTTAACTGGACCTGTTTATTAGCCAAAAGTCTAAAAATATTGTTTTTCTCAAAATTGTTGGTCTTTTTTCGCTTATAGTGCAAAAAAAAAAACCCACACAGACAATCATATACCACCGAAAGTAAGCTCAATCAGTGGGGAAAAAAAGACGTAAATTTCATTTGGGTGTGGCGTTGCATGACCGCCGCGCAATTGTCAGTTAAAGTAACGCAGGGCTGTAACGCACAAAATAGCCTGGTCGGGGGGGGGGATCCTCAGGAGAATCCCCCAACCTCCCAGCATGTCTTTGGAGTGTGGAAGGAAACCGGAGTACCCGGAGGAAACCCACGCAGGCACAGGGAGAACATGCAAACTCCAGGCAGGTGCCTTGGTTGGGATTCGAACAGAGGACCTTAGTACTGCCAGGCGGAAGTGCTAACTATTCAGCTACTGTGCTTTATAAAAGTTTTGAACAGATAAAATACTTTTGATTGGTTTTCAATGCATTCCTATGGGAAACCGCGTTTCGGATTACGAATTTTTCTCGATACGAAACGTCCAGGAGAACGCATTAAATTCGTACACCGAGGTACGCCTGTCATGGAAATCGCAATGCAAGCAGCGAGAAATAGTTTAAAAAAATCGTCACAAGCCGCAATGAAGCTTTCAGAAATCGCGCCTGAAGTCGCACACAAATCGCAGCGGTGTGACTGGTGACTTCGCCTATCTCACATCGCCTCCTTCCCTTAAGCTAGCCATAGATTATACAACTTTCTTGTACAATTTCCTGTAGATTTAGCTTCAGCTATATAGCACAAGGCAGGGGCGGACTGACCATTCAAGCACCCGGGCACTGCCCGAGGGCCTGGGGTCAGTAAGGGGCCCCATGAAATGCCCCTGGTACCTTTTTTTATAGGCTTTTTTGGGTGTGCTTTGAGTGTGGGCAAGGACACAGGGCCCTATGATCACCTATTGCCCGGGGGCCCCATGAGTTTTCAGTCCACCCCTGGTACAAGGGACTGCCTAACTGCATACACATCGAAAGTGTTTGACCCCTTTTGCACCGGCGCCTCCCTGCCCTTTAAGAGCTTCAGAAGCCTGGAGGCAGGGCGGGGTTTTAGGGTCATGTGACCGCCGTGATTCGCTGTCACGGCGGTCGCATGATCGGAAAAGGCCCCGATCGCAAGAGGAGATCGGGACCTTTCCATGAGTGACGGACATACGTGCGGGGCGCACGCTCTCAGCACATTTCATTACCCCCCCTCTCTCTCTCTCCATCTCCCCCTCTCTCCATTCATCCCCCTCTCTCTCTCTCTCCCTCTCTCCCCCCCTCTCCTCTCCATTCATCTCTTCCATCTCTCTCCATTCACCCCCATCTCTCTCTCTCTCTCTCTCTCTCTCTCCTCTCCATTCATCTCTCCCATCTCTCTCTCCATTCAATTCACCCAACCCCCCCCCCCCCCCTCCATTCATCTCCCATCTCTCTCCATCTCTCTCTCTCTCCATTCATATCTATCTCTCTCTCTATTTCTCTCTCTCTCTCCATTCATCTCTATCTCTCTTTCATCTTTTTCTCTCTCATTCATTCATCTCTCCCCCCCCTCTCTCTCTTTTCATCTCTCTCATCTCTCTCCATTCGCCCCCCCCCTCTCTCTCCCTCTCTCCCTCTCCATCCCTCCCCCTCTCTATTCTCCCCCCTCTCTCTCCCCCATCTCTCTCTCCCCCCATCTCTCTCTCTCTCCCCCCCTCCACCTCTCTCTCTCTCTTTCATCTCTCTATCTATTTCTCTTTCTCCATTCATCTGTCCCCCTCTCTCTCCCCCTTTTCTCTCTCTCTCTCTCTCCCTCTCTCTCCCCATTTTCTCTCTCTCCCTCTCTCTCCCCTCTCTCCATTCATCTCTCTCTCTCTCTTCATTCACCTCCCCCTCTCTCCCCCCCCCCTCTCTCTCCCCATCTCTTCCCCCTCTCTCTCTCCATCTCTCCCCCTCTCTCCATTCACCCCCTCTCTCCCCTCTCTCTCTCTCCCTCTCCCCCCCCCTCTCTCCTCTCCATTCATCTCTCCCATCTCTCTCCATTCACCCCCCCCTCTCCTCCCCCCTCTCCATTCATCTCTCCCATCTCTCTCCATTCATATACTGTATCTCTCTATTTCTCTCTCTCTCCATTCATCTCCCCCCTCTCTCTTTTCATCTCTCTCCATTCACCCCCCCATCTCTCTCTCTCTCCATCCCCCCCCCCCCCCCCCATCTCTCTCTCCACCTCTCTCGCTATTTCATCTCTCTTTCACCTCTCTATCCATTTCTCTCTCCATTCATCTGCCCCCCTCTCCCCCTTCTCTCTCTCTCTCCATTCATCTCTCTCTCCATCTCTCTCTCTCTCTCTCCATTCATCTCCCCATCTCTCCATTCATCTCTCTCTTCTCTCCCTCTCCCTCTCTCTCTCTCCCTCTCCCCTCCCCCATCTCTCTCTCCCTCCCTCTCTCTCGATCTCTCTCTCCCACCCTCTCTCCCTTCTCCATCTCTCTCGCTATTTCATCTCTCTTTCGTCTCTCTATCCATTTCTCTCTCCATTCATCTCCCCCCCTTCTTTCTCTCTCTCTCCATTCATCTCTCTCTCTCTCTCTCTCTCTCTCCTCTCTCTCCCCTCCCCTCTCCCTCTCTCTCCCTCTCTCTTCTCTCCATTCACCCCCCCCTCCCCTCTCTCTCCTCTCCATTCATCTCTCCCACCTCTCTCCATTCATCTCTATCTCTCTCTCTCCGTTCCCCCCTCCCCCCTTTCTCTCTCCATCTCTCTCTCTATTTCATCTCTCTTTCATCTCTCTATCCATTTTCTCTCTCCATT